AGGCGGGCGGGGGGCGGAGGCAGCGAGGAGCAGAGCTGGCTGGGCAAAGCGCCGCAGACGCCAACAGCAGCAGGTATGTGTCCCTACCGGGTGCAGGGTGCAGGGTGCGTGCCCAGGATTGGGTATAGCCCTGACCTTCATCCCTGGCCCAGAGCCCGCAGGGTGCGTGCTCGGGGCAGCCCGGGGCTTCGGTCCAGCCCGGGGATCCGCTGCTGGTCACATGCTTCTTATTTTTGCAAACTGCCCTGGGTCGGGCCCAGCTGCAGATTCCTCCCGTGCTTTGCCTCCGTGTGCCATCTTGCATTTATTAATAAATCATGCAAGCTGGGGGGAGTGCTGCTGCTGGGGAATCCCATTGCAGTAGGGCAAGCAGGCGCTGGTTTTCAGTTTTCAGACGAGGTAGAGAGGTGGAAACACCGCACCCCGGGGATCTGTGGTTTGGTGGGTCGTGACCACTTCCAGTCCTGGTGGTTCCTTCGCTACCAGGAGCACCCAGTGCAGGCTGGGCTGGGCTGGCTGGAAAGGACGGTGGGTTTTCACTGGCAGGCCAGAACCCTGTTCGGGGAACAGGTTCCATCTAGGGACAGGTCCCTGCTAACTCCCAGGGAGGCTTAGACCCAGAGAACTGCTTTTATGGATTCCCAAAGCGGCCTTGAACGGAATCCCTGAGACTTGTATACTCAAACTCATTAAGATTTTGCATTTGAAAATACCTAAAACTAGCCACCTGTTGGAAGTCAGACCCCAGGAGAGCCTCATACTCCATCCCAGTTCCCAGTTCCCAATACTGAGATGGCTATAGGCCCATGTGGGTTTATTCTATTCTCTTTAATGCTGGTTGGCATTTTTTTTTAAAAAATAAAATCTACGCTGTGATGCTTCAGATGACATAGGTTGAAATAATACAGTTTATGTTCTATATGCATACCTGTAACATTGAATCCTAAGGACTGGATTTCTCTTAAGTATGTGTTACCTATTCCCCTGGCTATTCACGTTACTTTGAGCAACAGTCAGAAAAGTGTGATGTGTATAACTGTTTACCTGTTTCTTCTCCCAAAATAATGTGATGAAAAGAACAATAAGAGCTAGAAATGGTTATTACAAGATGTTGGAGTATGAGGGCTGGATCAGAGTGAGACATCTAACTCTGAGGGTGCTTGTGTATACCAAGGGCTGAGCTAAAGCTGTTTATGCGTGAATCTTCACAGCAATGTGTTACCACCACATTGAAGATGAGGACCCTAAGATTTAGGTTAACTTTCTTGCCCAAGGTCACATTGTCAGAGCTATGGCAAGGATGTAGCCTCAACTGCATCTGATTATTGGGGTGAGGGACAAGGGAGGAGGACCATCTTTAATCCCATGGTGCAAGCTTATGCATGAGCACACCAATTTGGATCTGGTTTTCCTTTTCATAGATTCCACATCAACTTTTTTGTGGTTTTTTTCAATAAGAGAAACTTGTTTCAGAAAGAGCCTATGTGGGCTTTTTTTTTTTTTTTTTTTTTTTTTTTTTGTGGACACTAAACCTACTTTAAAAAATGGGTACTAAGATCCTCCTGTTGAACCCTCCTACGTAAGCAGTTAAGTTTATGCAGCTGCTTCACTCTTGATTTAAACCTTCAAAGTGTATATGAATTAATTGCTTATGTTTTTCACAATCTCATCTCTGCATGTTATCTCCTGGTCTCACTGCCAGTCATCACAACAACACATCACTTTCCTGTGCGTGCCTTAGTGGGGTGAAAGAATCCAGACCAGCCATGGACCACGAGCTCACCTCTCCACAATTGTATCAATGATTCATTCAAATTTATTGGAATGTGTGCATTCCACTATGGATAAGTATTTAAACATTTTTTTGACAAATAACATTGTAAGGCAGGCTTGGGATTTTGTTACAAATTCCTGCTATTGAGATAGTGGTGAAAAAAGTATAGGTTTGTTCACTTTGGCAACATATATACTAAAATTGAAATGAGACAGAGAAGATTAGCATGGCCCCTGCACAGGGTGATGTGCGAATTTGTGAAGTGTTCCATATTTTTTTAAAAAAGGTATACCATAGGTGAATACAGTATAAGAAATTATTTGAAAAATACATACCACTGAAACTATAGCTTTTAATGATCAATTGATAAATACTATTAAGTACGAAATATAAGATTGTCTCTTGCAAATTCTGTAAGCTCTTGTGTTCTTCCTTGGGCAATGTAACTGCTCTTAGAGAAGCCCGGATGTTACCTTTTCCATTATACTGGACTGTGTTCTGGTGACAGTAAAGCATTGTGTATAGCAGTCTTGCCTCGTGGGAAACACTCAGTTTTGGAAGAGTGCATTGCCTGGTGCTTATGGAAGTGCTGAGGTGGAATTTTTCTGCCCTGAGGATTTCCAGCCAATGATCAAATAAACTCAAGTGGAAGCCTGATGGTATTGTACTGGGGAAGTAGCAGAAAGCCAAGAGAGGCATTGCTTGATTCCTAGGGAAGAGGTGGATTTTCCTGTGGGACACATCCCTCTTCCCTCCATTTGGGAGTGTCGTAAAATTGCAGGTGAGAGATGAACTAGTCTGCTGCCTCCCATTCCAGCAGAATTTCATTTATACAGAGCCAGGTACCCCTTTTGGTACAAAGTCCAGTTCAGTGGATGTAAAAATGAGTCTAGACTACATTTTTTCCCCTTGAAATGTATTTTTAAACTGGGAAAAGCCATATGGGCCATTATGGATGCTTATGCATAATTTTTATTCCCCTTACCAAAAGTGTATTTTTGGAGGGAAGGGAGAACTCAGTTTTCTAAGATATAGAACTCACTGGTTATAATGCAACTTTTGATCCATTAAATAAAACCCTGGGAACCAGGAAATCTATGTTCCCTTGACTGGCCTTAAAAGCTTCTTATCTGTGAAGTCTAGTTTTTCTCATAGTATTCCTTAATTTAATATTCTCCAAAATGAAATTTTGGGCCAAGCATGGTGGTGCACACCTGTAATCTCAACGCTTGGGAGGCCAAGGCAGGAGGACTGCTGTGAGTTTGAGGCCCATCTGGGCTACATAGTAAATTCAAGGCCAGCCTGAATTATTTAGCAAGACCTTGTCTCAAAAGAAAGGATTGTCTTTTCAACATTGACAGTCTCAACTCACAAAAGAAGTTCACAGTCAGCTTACTTTGAAATACCTGCTTTTCATCAGTTTCTATTTCCTTGGTAGCAACCATAGCAAATTTTCATTTTATTTAGAAAGTGGTTCACTTTCTGTCCCCTTTTAAACAGAATCCACTGAACTGTGTAGATGACAGCTGAGGACCACCTCAGGTTTTATTCCTCCCGAACCTTCTCCTCTGGCCTGGACTCATCTGAGTGCCCATCGCTCTGCCTTTGGGCTTCTCTGTGCCCACTTTCCCTGCTGAGGAGCTGTAAAAATTTCCACAGTTGATTGCACTAGGTGCCTTGGGGGCAGTATGCGATGGATGCCACACAGTACTGATACTAAACAGGGCCAGGAGATCAGTTCCCTTATATCCACATAAGCCTGTCTTGCGATTTCTGCTTGTGAATGTAATGTGTGCTCCTTGTAGAATGTTCAGTCATTTCAAAATTACAAAAAGTTGAAAGTCAGTGGTCAAAGTCTTTGGTAACCTTGGCCCTTAACAATGACCACAGTGAGCAGTGCAGTATGGATTCCTCCAGAATTTTTAATGCAGAATTAAAATGTACTGTTTGTCAAGATACTGTACTATGCCTAGGTGAAGTCTGTTCCTGGACTTGGGTGTAATGCATACTGGGACCTTTTGAAAGACCAGGAATATCCTGTTTTAGACACCTTTTATTCCACCACAGTGGGCACTAGATAGGAGAAGCCCTGTAACCAGGCAAAGACAGAGGGACTGGCAGTCTTGGATAGGACCTGGCTTGTGCTGTGTTCTGTGGGAGGCGCTGTCACATTCCACACCCTTTGCAGGGTGAGATGAGGAGAGGGGAAGCCAAGATACCCAATACCAGAGCACAGCTGAGAGTGCAAGTCAGCGTGGCTCAGACTCCAGCTCTGTCCCTTTTGCTGCCCTAATTGCAAGAGGATATGTGTTCTCCTCCCCAAGTTCACTGGCCTCCCATCCTATTCTCTTCCCTCTACCCTGGCCTCCTTGCTGTCCCCTACCTTGGGGCTCTAGCACTAGTGGCTTCCTCTCTCTTCCTCTTCCTGCACATGTCTGTGTGATTTGTTCCCACTCCTCCTATGGGTTTGGCTTGACATCTATCTATGCCTTTCAGAGCACCCCCCACCAGCTGTTCCTGCCTGTCTTCCCTGCCTTGCTGTGTTGACCTGCTGAATTCAGGTGTTCCTAAGTTCCTTGCCCACATCCCCCATAGAATGAATGTGCCAAAGACAGGGGCTTTGCTTGCCACCAAGGTGAGAACTGCTAGTCAGTGTATTGTCTTGAATCCTTCCAGCCCTGAATCCCATGCCTCTTGCTTTGTTAGCCGTTACTGTCACCTGCATGAGCAGTGAAAGGCTTTATATGTAATTTAGGGGGGCGGGCTTTAAGGAAAGTGGAGAAAAACCAGGAAGATTATCTTACTTTGTGGCTAGCATCAGGGTAGGAGCCACCTCCCAGATAGATGGAAAGATTGGGGTGTATGGGGAAGAGGCTGTGGTGAAGAAAAGCACCTACTTGGAGTTCATGATGTATTTGAAGAACCAAAGGGGGAGACTCCAGACTGCTTCTGCACTGCCAGCTCTCCCACTGGCATAGTAGGAAGGGAAACTGTGGTCTGTTCTTTGGCTTTTCACCTAGGTGGATTAATCGAGCACTGCCTGTGATAGCTTGCTGTTTCTTATCAACACCTTCATGATTGCCGACCTGGGCTGTAAGCAGTCGCCAAGAGCACCACAGCCTGAGGTTCCTTTGGCCCCAGCACTCTCAGACTGTCCCCACGTCTTTCATATGTCTGTAGTTTGCAATAGTGTCGTTGGGCTGCAGCAACATCATAGGGCCTTTGGGAACTAATTCAATCTTAGAACTTCAGTCAGGACTACACTAGATGCTGAAGGGAGTTAACAGTCACAGGATATCTTGAGAAAACGGCCCCCGAGGCACAGAGCAGCTTTCTCTCTCTCTTTTCTTTCTCCTCTTCCCCCTCTCTTTATCTTCCTCTTCCTCTCTCTCACCTTCCCCTCTTTTTCTCCTGCTGCCTCTAATTAAATTGCTGCCCCCGTGGTCAGAATTATCTGTCATTAGTAGAATTTTCCCTTCACAAAACACAGCCTTCCTAAAACTACTTTTGATGTGTAATAGGGATCACCCAGAAGCTAGGACAGAGGCTTGCAACTCCAATTCTAACTGCACTTTAAAGAAAGAATTTTGATAAGTTTTATGATGTTGAGGAGTGCTGGCTGGACTCCGTGTCAGGCTGTAACACAGGCAGTGCTTTCAGCCGCTTTCCTTTGGCTCGGAACAAATCTGAGGAAGTTATCTCATCCAGAGTCCTCTCACTGTAGTGACAACTGCCATGTGTCCAGCCAGCGCAATGTGTAAGATCTTGTAGCCTTCCTTCCTAATAGTTTCCCTCCAAATAGTAAAATCATTGCATTTTACCTGAATGTAACAGCATTTAAAAAAAAAATTCTGTGATTCTTGCTGAGTCTCCTTACTAGGATTGCTAAAATTTGTTATTTTTGTCTATCAAAACAAAGGAAGGGGGGCGCATTTCACTCCTTCAAATAAAGAAAAGATCCCATTATTTTGGGAGAATCTCAGAAGAAAAGCTTGAAAATTTGTCTCCATCTCTTCCTGTCTTTTCGCTGGTGATGTCACCCAAGGTCTCTATCTGGTATCACTCCCTGCTTGGTGCTCTGCAAGGAACGCTTGTCCCCACTGCTGTACTGAAACACAACTCGCAAAGGTCACCAGTGACTGCCTCTTCACAAATCCAGTGGCTGTCTCTCGGGTTTCATTCCTGATGGCTCAGCAGCATCTGACCCCTTCTACTCTTCCACTCCCTGAAATGCTCTCTTGGCAGCTCCTTCCTCCAAATCTGTCTGTCTTCTGCCCTCTCATACTCCTGCTCTGTCAGAAAGCAGCTCGGTGGGTGGGCAGAGCATGGGATAACTGTAACATTAAATAAGCCATTTAACCCTCTGTGCCCCCATTTCCTTGTCAGTGAAATGGGGAGAAGAGGAGCTAAATGTCACCTTTGACCACTGTGACTTCCTGTTCACATGCCCTATGTCTTCCTAATAAACCCAATTCCTCCAGGGGACACAGCCCCTAAAATGGAGCTCCTTTTACTCCCTGCCACTTCCCAGTGTGTATCTGATTCTGAGCCTTCGTCCCTGCAGTTCCCACAGGGCACCTGGTCCCTTCCCACTTGGCCCCTCCTTCCTTAGCAGAGGAGGAAGAGTCAGGCAAGGACTTTTAGCCTAAGCCACCCTCCTTGGGGCAAGGAGCCCACCTTTTTCCACCAAATTACTCAAGGACACCAGCTGGGATTTATACTTTGAAAAAACATCCTCAGCATTTAGTACTGTGCTTCATACACAGTAGGAATTTTAACATATCTGAGAAAGGAACATATTCTTCTTCATCATCACTCAGAACTACATTACATGACCAGTTCTTAACACTTTGAGTTTGAGAATTCAAGTACTTTGGCTTCTGGGCCGTAGCATAGAGGGAGACAAGGAAGAAAATAATTGACAAGGGAGTTGTGAGATGAGCCAACATATTTATTACAGAAGAATGTGGCCTTTCTTTTCTGCAGAATCATAAGATGTTGGAGAGGCAGCTCAAAAAAGAAGAACAGTAGCCTGGCAGCAGGAGCACCCTGGGCATCAGGCCCACGTTGCTGCCATAACCTGAGGTCTCTCATACCACCACAGTGAGACACGTGCACCCTTATGAAGGATCGCACAGCTTTGGGAGAGCCCACGTCACATTCCCATGCTGTGCTACACAGCAGGCACCTCTCCCCGTTCTTTCAGAGTGGGCGACAGAGCCACTTGTCATTCACCTACCTTGGGATTCCTTCAAAAGGATGGGTACTTCAGCTCTC